AGAGTGATCAAGGAGTAAGTTCAACAAAATACAACAGGATACGCTCAAGCAAGACTGCGAACATTATGCTCGTGTTCCTACCCGGCTTGTAAATTTTTAAGAACAGAAAGTAGTATCTGACGAATCTGAAACGAATCTAAATCCATTGATGTGAATCAAGTGGAACTAATCAAACAAATCCAACAATGAAGAGTGCACCTTTGTGTTCAGATATCCATAAGGGTGGATCTAGTCTGGAATATGGCTGGAGACCACTCTCGAGGCATGATAAGAATGCGAGAACGTGTTGTCCAACCGGGAACTGCATAGGAGCATGCTGAACACCATCACCACCAACAAACACCAAACTCGCCAACGAATCATCACCTATCAATGAATCAGCGTTCATTCCCATTCCTTCAGTGGAAACTTCAGCGGAAACTTCTGAATGGTTCATTCTAACATTATTTAAGTTTTGTCTTATCTATCCAACAGTGCGCTAGGCACTAACGTTTCGTTGAGCGATTCTATAATCACGAGACAAACTATCAAAATGATCAAATCAATATTGCCGTTCGAGTTGTTGTTGCATTGGACTAATGATAAAATACAAAGAATTTTGTACACATTTTCAGCCATCTTTTCATCTTCATATGAAGTCACTTATTAGGAAGAGCCTAAATTTGATACTGAGCTTTTTGATTGGAGTTCATCGTTTTAAGTGTTGAATGTTTTGAGGTAAATAAAATTGGTGAAATGAAAGGAACGAATTTTGAGTTTTACACAAACTTTGTTGATGTATATGTATGTAGATGATCTCATTAACATTGACGTTAATTGCATGTCTCCATAACCAGTTGGTATCACACGATGACGACTCGAACGTTGTGGATATTGGCTGTGAACTGANGTGGATATTGGCTGTGAACTGAAAGAGCGTTCCATCAAACTTAGAAGAAGCATTCCGTAAATATGTTCACGCTCACTTTAGAAATATTAAACGAATGGTCAGAAGAAAGCTAAGGTCAGAAATATTTACGTCAGCGATTTCAATGATGCTGATGTAAATAATCTAAAGTGAGAGATACGATTGGATAATTGGTACGGTAATGTAACGTATGGATGTATATATTCATTCATTTCAATCAGAGTGAAGATCTGTTGAAATTGATCACTCACTCATGATCAATGAGTGAAAAATCAATACACATGATTATTGATTATTATGATAAATGATTATTATTAGCATTGTTATTGAATATTCATTATCCACTCATGATATTAAATTGTAAATTGATAAAATGATCATTCAGTTGATTAAAATGAATGTGCTTTTAATGATATTTTGTTCATTAAAATCTTTGCTACGATTCATTTGATTTTGAACATTTCGATAGATGAATTCTCGAAAGTAGTGGCTGAAAGCTGGTAGCATGAATATTATTAATGAAGGTCAGTCGGGTTAATCGATCCCTCAACAATAGAACAAATGAAATACGAAGTAAACAGAAATGAACAAAGAACCTGGAATGCATTAAACGATTCGGTGTCCATTTGACAGTGAC